ATGTCTTAATTCCAGTCCTTTCTCCCTAACTGTGCGAAAAAAGATCTTGCAAGTTCACATTTTAGGCTACATAAGGTGTGCGGAAATGGAAATTAAAACAGATACAATAAGTGTTTAAAGCAGAAAGCTTACTTGATAAAGTCGGTTCGACAGCTACCGTTAAACTATCAATAAATGAAGCTGAGCTTTGGGCAGTGAACTGACTACTTTCGTAGACACATGGAATGCTTCGGTTCAGTGACTGAGGAGTGGATAGGCATTCTGATGGCATTCCGGGCTGCTGCGATTCTTCCTCTGCTCCCTCACGACGTCGTAGCCGAACTGCAATTCGGCTTTCCGGTGCCAGTTAAGACAGAGTACCAATAAAAAATACAATCACCTTGACGACTACTCATCGATACAGCTAATTTATGCAACTTTCGGCCAAAAAAAGAAAAAGAAAAAAACTCAGCCAAAATTTTGACGCATCTAAGCCAAACAGAGTTTAGGTGATGGAAATGATCAATTGAGTCTACTAACTTATTTTCGTTCCACTTAGCTTAAAATATGCCATCGTTAAAGCACTGGATGCAAGCAATCGCCACTTTGAACAATGGTTCCAAAATTATCTGGGTGAGAAGAAATACTGGAAAAAAAATGCAAAATTCAGTCATAAAAAAGTAAGATTTCATTCTAAAAGAGCAAAATTTAGCTAAAACAGTGCAAAAATTTACTCCAAAAAAACATTAAAATTAATCTAAAAATATTAATTGGAGTTAAAAAAAACGATTAATTTGCTTCGGGAACGATAAACTCCTTATTAAAAAATTCTATAATGAAGCAAACGAATGCATCGTTTTGGACAAACATGCTAAAAGTAGGATGCACGTATTTTCGCCTCTCTTCCTCTTTTTCTGGAAGCCATGCGTTCATGATCTAAAAAGGGGAAAAATGCCCGCTTAGACGATAAGCTTCCCACTTTCTAGGACGATAAGCTTGAGCACTTTAAACAAAGTCCAGTTAGAATAAATTAC